GCCTTTTCTGAGCTCCTTAAATATTGTTTGTTTGAAAACAATTGGAATTGTTTCAAAAAGGAATATGAGTTTTGGTAGGATATTCATTTTGATTGTAGCAATTCTGCCCATAGTTGACAATTGTGGATTTGTCCAGCTAGAAATGTCTTTCTTAATTTCCTCTATCAGTTTCAAATAATTATCTTTCAGGAGAGTACTTGTTTTCTTTGTAAAAAAAAATATACCCAAGTATTTTACTTTCCTTCCTTCATGGAAGTTTGTAATTTGTAATAGTTCATCAGTCTCCTGTTTTTGAATGTTTTTAGCCATCATTTTTGTTTTCTTGTGATTTATTTTTAACGCTGTCATTTCACCAAACTCTTTTAATATCACCATTAGGTCTGTACACTTTTTAAAATTGCAATTTGTATATTTTAACCACATAATAGGTTTTATGAACTGGTTGTACATTTTTAAACTGCATTTTGTATATTTTAAATAAATGCCATAAATGTTTTATGAGTTGGTCATCCGACCATAATAAATAAATTCTGATGCTGTTCACCATTAGTACTTCTATTGATTCCTTGGGGTTTTCAACTACTATAAGCAAATCATCTGCAAAGGCCTGAACTTTAAATGTTTCTCCTAATTTTATCTGATATTCATATTTGCTGCATTAGTACTTCAATTACAGTTAAAAAAAGTAGTGGTGATAATGGGCAGCCTTGTTGTGTTTCTTTTTGTATTTCTACTTCTTGTGTATATTCTCCATTGATTCTTATCTTTGCTGTCTGTTTGGAATAATCTTTATTATTTCAGTGAAATTCTGACCTGTCCCCATTTCTTCTAATTGTGATATCACAACGTTCCAGGAGTTGTAGTTTCTGAGGTCTGTTATGGCAGTGGTCCCCAACCTTGGGCCTCCCAATGTTCTTGGACTACAGCTCCCAGAAGCCTTCACCACCACTTCTGCTGGGCAGGATTTCTGGGAGTTGAAGTCCAAGAATATCTGGAGGCCCAAGGTTGGGGACCACTGTGTTATGGTATATAAAGCCTTTTCCCGTTTTACTCCCTGTCCTCGTGATGTAAAGAACAGCTGTTTCTCAATGGAATACTGTACATTGCTTCAGTGTCTGAAAGGCTACTGCTTGACATAATGAGTCCCAACTAGACTAAGGCCCATTGAATTGAATACATACTGTAGCCGACTGAATTATTTGGGACTTAGTGAGTCAACTCCTCCATCATTTCTGTTGATTCTAGTTGCAACTTTTTACATTAAGCAAAGGATGGTAGACTCTTCTTTGTTAGAGATTTTTAAACACAGGGTGGCTATACTTTTATTTTGAGTCTCCGGATTAATCATGCAGTTAGAGTGAGGCAGAGGATGTCCCCTTCCTCTTTTGCTATTTGCCACTGCCCTTGAATTCCAGGTCAAAAAGCTTCATAATGATGCTACAAAACAGAGGCTAGCTAGTGGAAGCAGGAAGAATAAAATAGGAATGTACAAATGGTGCTGCCTTGCTCCAGACCAATCCCATCCTTGGAACAGCTGAAGCATTTAGGGAAGTAGATCAATAATGGAACTGGAGCCAGCCTTAAAATAAACAACAGTAATTCAGAAATTGGGTTCTTCAATACAGACAAAGCCTCCTGGGATGCAACTAAAGAACATACAAAACAGGGACTTGAAACACAAAGAAGTTCTCTTGTTTCCAACTAGTAAACTATAGACCAGTTCTGAAATACATTCAACAAGATCTCAGAAGGCAGTTTAAGGCTAATCTATTTTGTCTGGACAGCTGTTACAATCTCAATTATTCAAAAATTTCTTATTTTTAGTCTAGACACTTCTGATACATTTGTCAACATCACATCCTGTAACAAGTAATTGGGAGTGATCTGTTCATGGAGAAGAGAAATCAAGGTTGAGTGATACACTGCTACTGTATATGGAGATTCCTGAAAAAGAGGGGTAGGAATGCCACACTTTTTTATTGCGAAACATTCCAGGTGAGCCATATCTCAGCAATGAGCAGGGAAATTATGGGTATCTGTGAAGTTATAGTTATAGTGCATTTCTCCCAGGGAAACTAAGAACATACCTAACCTTTTGCCCTAGCCCCCCTTTTCAATTTGGAAAGTTTAAATAAAAAATGTTGCACCTCCAATATCTCATTTAATTCCGTATTTTAGATCACTCATTCAGTGATAGGGAATAAAAACACTGTATGGATTCAAATACTTATGTTCAAAAGGCAAGTCATTTAGAGACATTCAATCAAAGGAGAAGCTGGGACACCATAATGTTAACTATCCCAACATAAACTAAGTTCGGCATTTCAATGTACAGTACATCCAGAAATCTATAAACAAGACCAACCACAATCTTTTGAGCTTGTCATAGTGAACTACAGTGGGACTGTGGGGTATCTACACAGGATTGGTTCAAAGCCCAACCCCCATGCTAAAAACACACAATTTAAATCAATTCCTGTTCTACCATTTTTAATATCAGGTTCAAGTCAGGTTGTATATAAAGTGGCAACCACATTCACTTTTGACTGAAATTAAATCAATTTATTTCTGGTAATCAAAATCAGTTTGAGAGGCTACACTGAAATTGACTCATTTCCTTTCTGTTTTAAGAAAATGCTGTTCTTAAAGGTTTTTATTTTTAAAAGAGTAAGTGATACATCGCTAAATAGAGTGTTTACGAGGGGCGCCACCTGTTGTCATAATAGTCTCTAGAAATACCAGAGAGCTGACCCCATGTCATGAGTGCAGCTGAAGACCTGGAACCAGAAGGGTTAACTGAGGCTGAGGAGAATGCTGAGCAATCAGAAACACTTGAATGGCCTCCAGATTCTCCTTCCCCAGCAGACAAGCTTCGAGGAAGACTTACGGCAAAAAGGTCAGAGGAACGCTCAAAGGCTGTCCACAGAAACATCCGTTCAACTAGTCCTGAGTATTGACAGGATGGAAAGGTTTCCAGCAGCTCAAGGGGCTGTTTTACTATAAAAACAGCTCCTAGTCAGCTAGAATTTTGTGGAAGCAACAAGTCAAAACCTCTGACTTGCATCCACGCTCCTACAACCTTGAACCGTGTTTCCTGACTCTGGACTCGGACTTTGGACTATGTTGTGTGTTTGACTCTGGACTCTGACCTTGGACTACGTTCTGTGAGTTGGTTTGGTAATTGGATTTCGGCTTTTCATTCCTAGTATTCCTGACTTTGGACTGGCTTATCGGACCTTGGCTGTTGTAACCCCCGGGAACGTGACACCCCAGCTGAATAATGTTTTTTTAAAAAAAGGGAATTGGAGAGGAAAGGCTTCCAGTGGGTTCAACAAATAGGGTGCTGACACCGGAGTCAACAATGTCAGCTCACTTCCTGCTGAACCCACTGGAAGCCTTTCCATCATTATTTGGCTGGCATCAACTCTCTGGTGTTTCTAGTGACTCAGGATTTCTATAAGGTGGCACCTTGTAGAAACTCTATTTAGCAATGGAACCTCAACCTCTGTGCTGCTGTCCTCATATTTTAAAAAGTACCTGTTGGCCAGGTTGGAAAAAAACTAACTTTGCAGCCCATATAAATTGATTTCACCTGAGTGTAATGTGCCCAGGAATTTATTCATTGCTTAAATCAATTTAAATGTGGTTCTTATTGCCAGTGGGACCACACAATCAGTGGGGATTTGCTGAATGAATCAACTCCTCTATATGTTCATTGATTTCAATGGGCCTCTTCTAGTCACAACTAGAAATCCGCACTGATTCACTGAGCCTATCCTACTTGAATTTATGCACTACACTAAGCAACAGGGTTTTAGTCATTATTTAGCAGGCATTCCTCTCTCTCTACCATGAAATTTACTCAGCCTGTATAAGTTTGACTTGAACAAAAAATCAATGTGTTTCCTTCCTCAACACACAGTACTTTCTTCTCTTTCCTTCTGTTCTCTCTCATTTTCCTTACACCCCATTTCCCCTACCCCATGTTTATCATGAACCAGGTTCGTCTTTCTCTAGGGTTGCAATACTGTATATTAGTTCCTCAAAATCCAGACATCCACTTTGAACTATTACACAAAATACTGGATTATTATGAGAACAAAGGGTGAAGGGTGTGCGTGTAAAAGACAGCCTTGTTAGAATTGCTGCCTCGATGGTAAAGAGAAGGTTGGGGTTTCCTAAAATTTTCTCATATAATGTAGGAGCACATAAATCGGAGCCTAAGGTGATTTGTGCACTTTCCATGACCTCATTTTCTTTGGCTACTTTCCACTTCAGAGATTTGAGCCTGTAGGAACTATAGATGCTGTTGATATTCAACAGATGCAGTTTTGCCAGGAATACCCACAGTTTGGATTCTGCCTGAGGTTTGTAAAATATCTACACATAATGCAAAATATCTATACATATGCTCGGCAGGGTTGCTTTGGGAATTACCAGAGATATTGGCAAGCCTTTGAGTCCAAGTCCCAAGTCCAAGTCTTTGGTACCCATCCCCAAGTCTGAATCTGAGTCTTTGGTCCCAAGTCCCAAGTCTGAGTCCCTATTAAAAACATGCTTTCCCCTCCCCCATGCCACAGAAAAAAGAGAGGTATGGGTGGGTTTTGAGTCACAAATTGCGTCTGAGTCACTCAAAAAAACCCCCGTCAAGTCTGACTTGAGTCACTAGTGCGACTTAAGTCCAACTTGAGTCTCATGACTCAAGTCCCCATCTCTGAGAATTACCAAGATAATAAAAGAAATATTTTGAGCTGGGACAAATCACTTTTTAGCCATAACTTCTAGATTCCCAGTGCCGACATGGCTATGTCTTTGAATGTGCAAGTACAATTTTGCTATTACTTGAAGAAAAGTAAAACATACTGCAGTTGTTGAAGATATAATAAATAGCATTAAGTACAAATCAGCCTTCCGAGGCTTGAAAGCGCCTTCAGAGCTACCAAAGATAGATTTTTTTTTTAAAAAAAAGTTAGATTCTTTTACAGCAAAAGAAACCTTACCTGTCATTAGGCAGCTGTGCTCCAGCCAGTTTAACTACTGTGCTGAATATATCCATATTACTGGTTGGCTCATGGATTTGTACATCAGGCTGAACCACTCCAGGCCAACGGAAAAGACCAGGAACTCGAATCCCACCTTCCCAATTTGTAGCTTTTCCACCTGGAGGAGGGAAAACATTCAGAGAAACATATTCAAATTACCTTTTATTTAAATAGATCAAGACATCTGCTAAATAATAAAGCTGCAACATTTCATAGGCTAGATCTGTTAACTAATTGATCAATTAAAATATAGATCATATAAGTCATCTCTGAATTAACTGGCTAGACAGCTCAACTGACTGGGTTGAAGCAGGCTAAGCAGGGTCACTTAAAGTCACGTAAAGGTTCGGTATGCCATTTGGGGCTATCTCTGCAGTCACATGGCATACAGATCCCAAGCTGTCCCTATTTAGGACTCCTACATTTAAAGGGATGAAAAAGAAAGAAAACAAACAAACAAACAAAAAATTGGTTGTTGTGGGTTTTTCGGGCCCTTTGGCTGTGTTCTGAAGGTTGCTCTTCCTAACGTTTCACCAGTGCTGTCCTCTGAAGATGCCGGCCACAGAGACTGGCGAAATGTTAGGAAGAAACCTTCAGAACACGGCCAAAGAGCCCGAAAAACCCACAACAACCATTAGATCCTGGCCATGAAAGCCTTTGCAAATAAACAAAAAATTATCTTCAGCTATGCCTCTTCCTTTCTTCTCCAACTTCCAGGATGAAGCTTTCATTTTCCCCCCACCGAAAAGGTACACCAAATCAGTGACACCCTAATAGGCTTTTTTTAAAAAAAGAAAACTTTGCTTCCTTCCTCTTCTGCAAGCTCCAATATTAGAATCTGTAAGTCATAGCTTAACTATACCATCAAATTCAGTTTTAGTATTCATTTCTTTATTTGTTTTGTATCATTTGTAAGCTGCCTTTATCCCCACGAGGGGACCCACAGCAGCTCACAGTGTTGAAACAAGTAATATCAAAACTGCCATAAATTACAGATTTAAAAGCTATTAAATTACAATGGTAATTAAAACTCCATTAAGTAATGCAAACAATGAAAACTTTAAAAGTAAACAAGTCCTTGGAAACCTGTCTACAGCAAGCACGGTTTCAAAACCCTGTTTCAGTATTTCTGGTATGTAAAATTGTCTTTATACGTATATTTTTTTGTATTATCTTTTAATATTGTTAGCCGCCTAGAGTGGTCCTGACATGACCAGATAGGCGGGATATTAAATAAATAAATAAATAAATAAATAAATAAATAAATAAATAATAAATAAATAAATAAATAAATGAAGTACCTCTCCCCCACTGTTTTCCTATATGGAAAGGAATATGTGGCAGGGACTTTCAGAACTGTTACTTTTATTCATACACAGTCACAACCAATAGGTTAATCAACTAAGACTCATGTGATTTTGTCAATGTACAGACTAGAGCAATCCTCTGTTACCTAGAAGAGCAGATATAACGCCATATGAGGCTGTGGTTTGCAGTAGAAAGTTCAACATCTGTTGTTATTCCAGGAATAGGGTAATCCCAAAATATGATCAGGAGGCCATGGATGTTTAGTTGCTTATACCCTCTCCTAAGATTAGGCATCCTTCAGTCTCAAGTGACTATGGTAATGTGTTCTGAATAGAGGATTTGGAACAGCGTCTAGTGTGGCTGAGAAGGCCAATTCGAGAGTAACAATCCCTTCCACACTGAAGACAAATACGGTCTGTCCCCTGTCCAGCTCCCTGATTTTGGGACTGCCTCTTTGTCTTGGCCTGCTGAACAAGGGTCTCTTCAAAATGGGAGAGGCCAAGATGCACCACCTGCCTCCAGGCTGAACGCTCAGATGTCAAGGTTTCCCATCTGTTGAGGTCCATTCCTAAGGCCTCTCTGGGGCGATTTCCTAGCACTAATTCTCCATACAGGAGATCTCCATAGAGGATATCTTTTTGAAACCGACCATCAGCCATTCTTATGACATGCCTGAGCCTATGTAGATGTCACTGTTTCAGTAATGTATACATGCTAAAAATTCCAGCTCATTCTAGGACTACTCTGTTTGGAACTTTGTCCTGTCAAGTGATACCAAAAATGCATTGGAGACAATGCATATGGAACGTGTTCAGCTTCCTCTCCTGCCATGCACAAAGGCTCCGGGACTCACTACAGTACAGGAGTGTAGTCAGGACACAGGCTCTATAGACCTGGACCTTGGTATTTGCCCTCAGCTTCTTATTAAGCCATACTCTCTTTGTGAATCTGGAAAACATGGTAGATGCTTTTTCAATGCATTTATCCAGTTTGACATCTAGGGAGAGTGTGTCAGAGATCATTGAGCCAAAGTCATGAACAACCTCCAATTCTTGTGTGGAGATGGTAATAACGGGAGGTGAGTCCACACCCTGGCCCATGACTTGTGTTTTCTTCAGACTTACAGTTAATCCAAAGTCTTGGCAGGCCTTGCTAAAACAATTCATGAGTTTAGTATTCATGAGTTTCACCCTCTCCTAAATACCCCAAATAAAGACTAGGAGCTACATTAGTGCTGGGTCTGGTATGGTTAATTGCCCTTCATGAATGCCAATGTAATGGAAACACTGAAAAAAGACCAGTCAAAGACCAAAAAGAACAAAAAACAAAATGAAACATAACATAAACCAACCTATATTCTGCTCTAGCATAAACTAGGAACTGATTCCTTTTCACTGGACTATCTCACTCACTGCATTAGGATATCGTCTCCTGATTTTTAAAATCAGACAACAATTCTATTACAGTGGGACCTCAACTTACGAATGACTCCATTTGCAAAATTTGGCATCGACTTGCGAACGGAGCCTCGACCTATAAATGAAAAAAAGCAGGGGAAAAGGGTGGGAAATTTCCCACCCTTTCCCCCTGCCTTTTTGACTTCGGAGGTCGAGGCTCCATTCACAAGTCGATGCCAATTTTTGTGAATTGAGTGAACGGTGCCTTTGGAGGTCTCCAAGGGCTTTCCCCCCCCACATCGGAGGAAGCCCTTTGAGACCTCTGAAGGCAAAAAGGCAGGGGGAAAGGGCTGGTATTTCAAATTTCCAGCAGTTTTCAATACTAAATGACGTTAAACTAAGCTTGTTGAAATGGTATTTTTTGTAATAAAATATAAAAAGACAAATTGTCTGTAAGCTGTCTCCTTGTATAGACCAAGCTACTATAGTAAATTAGATATTTTAGAACTAAGATTATGTTGATCTGGCCACATTACGCTACCAAAAGAGGGTCCTGAAGTAATAAAAGAGGAAGAGCAGACCTTCCAGATTGTTCATTTAAAATCGAGACAGACTTGGGTGAAGGAGTGTGAAGTCGCCTAGAGCAAAATTACAGGACCCGATTTTGCTGGCATTAGGGACTAATCATTCTGAATCCCTCTCTGTCTCGTGTAAAGGCAGTTCTTAGGAACGCTTTTACCACAGCGGGGACCCCTGGGGAGGACTCCCATGGTAGCAGGCAAGCCCTGGGGGTCCCTGCCATGGCAATCGGTGCCTTCGAAGGTTTCCAGGGCTTTGTCCCGACATTGGAGGAAGTCCTTTGAGACCTCCGAAGGCAAAAAGGCAGGGGGAAAGGGCGGGAAATTCAAATTTCCCACCCTCTTCCAATGCCTTTTTGCCTTTGGAGACCTCAAAGGGCTTCCTCCGATGTCGGGGGGAAAGCCCTTGGAGACCTCCAGAGGCAAAAAGGCAGGGGAAAGGAGCAGGAAATTCAAATTTCCAGCCCCTTTTCCCTGCCTTTTTGACTTTTCCCGTGGAACACATTGATTGGTTTTCAATGCATTCCTATGGGAACATTTCGACTTAAAAACGCATTCCCAATATGGATTAAGTTCTTAAGTAGAGGTATCACTGTATATGTGCACTTCCTCTGAAGGTAAACCATGTAAGTTTCACAATTTGCAATTGGATAAATGGAACACATACTACTCAGGGAAGCTTTGTTATCGCTGCATGAGAGTACAGTAACATTATTGTAAAATAGAGGAAAATCAACAAATACAAACACAATTCTGAAAATCGGGTCAGTCCAAATAAAAAATTATAACTTTACAACTGGACATCTCCTCTTACTCTGTGCCAAAGGTGGGGAGGTTTGGCCAAAGAGTTTTCAAATTATGTTTTTTTTTTAAATACAACCCAAACCCCCTGGGGAGAAACAATGAACTTAAATGACCTTAACCAATGGCAGAAGTCAAGATGGTCTACAGGATACCCTCTTGTGTTTGCTGACATTCACACTTGTGGAAAAACAGCCATAAAAATTGCTTTGAGTTTGGGAGAGAAGTGGTTAACTGATGAAAAAAAGGAGGCAGATCCTGGGATTTTCCCTTGCTTGGTGTCACTTTGTAAACAGTAGTAGACACAAGAGGGTTTCCTGTAGATCATCTTGACTGCTGCCATTGGTGTTAACATTCAGCCTGCCCTTTGCTATCTAAACCTTGGCATCATTTTTCCTGGTGGCAACATGGGCATGATATTGTGCAGCACCACTGGATCATTTCCTTGTGTTTTGAATTGTGGATACAGAAGCACAATATTCCACAATACAAAATCAGAGGTTGTTTGAAGCATTAAAACCCTTTTCAGGGTGTTCCAGGTAGAAAATACTTAGAAGTACTGTATACCATTCCTTTCTTCTGGCAATACTGAAAGGAGGATCTAGGCACCTATGCAGAATATAATATTGCATGGCAGGCAGCATGTGCTTCTTATATGTACTTTACTGTCCCCCATCATCCTTTAAATCTATGTGCTTTTAGTCTTAGCAGTTTAATAAAGCTAGGGTTTCACACACATAAACAATAAGTCCCATGTCCTCAGTACTGGAAACAGAGGTGGTGAAGGGGGAAATGGCATATTTTATAATTGCCTTATATAAATCTATGGTTCAGCATTGTTTGGGATGCTATGTACAGTATTGGTTATTCTATGTTAAAATGACATCACAGACTGGGGGAATAACTAGGGGTAATAGAAACTTAAATGGAAGATTAAAGCAGTTATGTTTTTTGAGAAAGAAAATGATTGCGGGCAAGCCATTATTACAATATTATGAACAATGTGGAGATGATTACCCTCTCCTAAGCAAGCT